TCTCTCTCTCTCTCTCTCTCCCTCTTTGTACCAATGTTGAGCGATTAGGAGAGGTAGCCATCTCGGCGACCTAGCGCCCTAAGTAACAGACCTAGAGGCTAGGACCGATGTTATTTATACAAAAAAGATGGTGGCAACCCGGCAGGTGGTTCGCATCGCAAGTCGGGACTTCGCTAGTTCAATTAGGGAGGCAGTTATATTTCGGCTGCGTCAGAAGCGCCCCCTGCTGGTATTGCGCGGCTGCCACGCTGACACAATAATTGCGCTGGAATCGACGTACTGTGTACGTAATAAACCCGTGCGGCCGAGATTAGGTAATTGGTGTCATCCAGTTCGTTTACAGTCCGTGTTTAGTGCGTGGGAATGCGTGTGCGTCACTGCTCGTAGCTGTCAGTCGCGTCGCTGTCGACCTATGCATCCAATCGCAATCGCAATCCGACACAAGGTCGGCTTTCTAGTCCGTGACTGTCCGTGCGTTTTGCACAACTTACGTGTTTAGTACGTGTTTTGCCCCACTAATCTGTTCAATAATCATTTCAATAAATCCAATTAAAATTAAATTCGTAATCATTTAATCATTTTATAGTTATATTCTCTGGTGAATTTTAGACAATTTTCAACTAGCATGCACTTCTAGCCCATCTTATACTGTATCGCACATGCGGACGTTGCATGTATAGCAGACTACTGCCGACTTAACAAGCGATGAATCGAAACGTTTCTGTGGGATATATAATTATCATATATACTACCAGGGGTTAATAATGACAAATTATTTGTCATTATTATTTGTTTATAATTATAAGTATTGTTGTTGTTGTAAGTAATAATATTATATTATTAAAGTTTATAATAATAATAATTATTATTATTTGTCATTATTAACCCCTGATACTACCGATACCTATACCGATACTACTGATATATATACCGATATACGATGATGCTGGCCGCCAGAACGTTATAGTAACGAACACGAGGCAAAAGAAGTAGCAGCAGCTGATCTATTTCTAATGCTAAGAACGAATCCATTAGCTGATGGAGTGGGTAGTGATGAGCGAGCACTCAGAATGCTCTCTCAGCTATCATAATCAGTCCAGCTGCTGAACGCACTAGATTATGAATGCGCATGGCTTCTGCTGCTGCCGTGTAAAATCTTTGCACGTGGGATTCCGGCGCGGTGGTGACGTACGTGGGCGCAGTAAGATCAGATACCACAAAACCTTCTTATCACCTCACCCGTCCAGGGGTTAACACAATCTCGACTCTACCACCACCTTACTCACCTGATCATCTATATTTGATTTATCATACTCGTCTTCGACACGTTACCTTTGTTCTGTTCCTTTCGTCTAGGTACATAATAGATGAGTTATATTATTAAAGTTAATATATATATTTATTAATTATTTGCATTATGCTCCACGTCCCCTGCTATCCTCCCTATACCGCGCGCATTCCCCCCAGCGACCTACCCACAACCCTCTCCTAGATTTTTATGCTTCCGCTCGATTAATACCACTGATCGATGCATGGCACGTCTCCGTTCTGGCCGCGTACTCAGATACGGATTCGTTATATTAATACGATTAGTGAACGGATAGGATAGGGGAACTTAGGAAGGGGGAGAACCAAAAGGACGCCGTAAGAGAGGAAGAGACGCGAGGCGCAGTGCTGGAACACTACAGTGACAGTTTAACTAAAATGAAGCGTAGAGGCCAGAGGGCGGAGAAACAAAAAGAGTATCACATTAGTCTATGAATGGAGGTGGGTAGTCTTGAGAATGCAGTACGCGAGCAGCGAAAGAAGTGAGGCAAGGCTCCGACCGCGAAGAGAGACTCCTCAGGCGCTCCTAGTTGTATCGATGTGTTCTTGAGATTTGTGACTGCGTCCCCAATCATCTGCGAACCCATTCTTATTCGCCTGCACCGATTTGAGCAGTGTAGGAGTGACCTATTTCTATTCTGTGACGGTCGGGCACTGAGGAGTAGCGAAGAGGAGGAGAAGTGCGGAAAGGCGGGTACAGGAGGGGGGAAGAGGAGATGGGGAGGAAGAGCATAAGTGGGCGGGAGAAGACAAGAAGGAGCGAGGGAGAGAGCAGGAGGCAGGGATCATGGAGGAGGCTACGAGGAAGAGGAGGAGGAAAGGGGGAGTGAGGGCCACACGCGAAGGAGGTTAAGAGGCGCGGAAGAGAAGAGAATGACCAAGGTGAAAAGAAGCGAGAAGAAAAGGAAGTGGGATGAACGAAATTATCAGGTACGAAGAGCAAGAAGAAGGAACTGAACGTAGGAGAAGTGAAGAGAGAAGGAAGAAGAGAACAAGACAGGAGAAGAAAATGGAGCGAAGAGAGGGGGGGCAAATCGAAGGCGTAGAAAAAAAAGAAGCGTGTCGTACAGCGCGGCCAATTGCCATTAACGAGAGATATTCGAATCGCTCGAACATGCATGAGCGTGATGTGTGTTATTAATAGTCTGGTAATTGTGCTGATATTCGGGGGGCGCTTAGATGGAGTGGTGAATACGTCCGTGCGTCGTCTGCCGCCCGAGCGATACCGCTCCGCACAAGGCGCGTAAGGAACGTTAAGGGGTAGACGCACCAATCTGGTCTATACGAACGCACGCGACTACGCGCGAGCGCACCCGTACGGCCCGTAACAAAGAGCTTGGTACGTGAACCACAGCGCAAACCAAATATCCACACACGCGCGCGCACTTACACACAACCATGACCACACACCCACAACACCCACACACAACACACACACACAACACATCACACAACCACACTTCACATCACACACAGTACACACACACATCAGGCCCTCACACACACCACATCACACAGTCCCCACGCCAGCTCGGCCTCCTCACCAAGCAGCCTCATTTCTCCTCATCTCCCGCTCTCCCCTTCTGCATCCGCTATCACCTCCTCAATCTGCTTCGTCCCCCTGTCCGCTCGCTGTAACCTTTACTGCCCTATCACCGCTACTCCATCCATGACATACCATCACGGTCGCGCGCGCACGCAGTGTGCTGAGCGGTCGCACGCAGCGCAGAGCAGTGTGATGTATGAGGGGGCGCGGCCGGGCGGTGAGGGGCTCACCTAAGCACCAACGGCAAGTTCCGCTATACTCACTAGCATTTGTAGGTACAATCACTTGAAACTGCGCCAACCAACCTCCATGTAAATCGCCCATAGCAGCTAGGACGAGTCCACACAAGTATATACCCGAAAGCCCTTACTCTTCCATCGCGATACTCGATTGACAAGATGCCGCAATCGTCGACGATTTAGCCTGGTCCGCTTTCCTCTCCACGCGCCTACCAAGCCTGAGGAAGGGCAGAACCTCCCCGCTGAACCGCAACTCAAACAAACGTTCTTTCACTCGCTCTCCCGCTACCGTCAAGCCAAACTTGTCCCTGCAAGACCGAGATGCCACCGAGTCAGCGCCTGTGGGCCCCATTCAGCTCTCATTGACCTTTTTGACTCTGCTCAGACCTTCTTTCGACTATCGGCCCAACGGTGCTGCGATCTCTCTCTGAAGGCCCCTGCTGCTATCTTCATGCCCACCACCCGGATGCTAATGTGGAGCACGATCTCTGCAACCCGTCTACACCGCCTCCGTCGCACACCGTCGTTCTCTGTCGCTCTGCAGTGGCCACGCAGCTACTTCTGCACGCTTTGACACATCCCCTACTTCCAGGTTCCGTTACCGAGGACGGGCAAACATTAACTGTTCCCACACGTCTCCGCCCGCTGTCATTCATCGCACACCCCTAAAATCTATTGACCTTTCTAGTACTTTTGCACTTTCGAGCCACCATGCTTCGCCACTCGAGCCACACCCTCGTCTTTTTGCAACCCGAACTAGAAGCCTCTAGAGTACTAATTTGCTCCGACGTCCGCCAAATCTGTGCCGCGTGAACTCCCGCGCGCGTTAACAGAATTGTGCCGGCAAACCTGTTGACCAGCAAGAAGACACTCACTCGGCGAACACTTAACGGGGCCGCCACAGCCCCGGACCCGCCCGGACGCACCGAATCGTTTCGATCTCGCAAAGCTGGCACCCTGCCTCAACACGCTGCAGCTGCGCTCTACCACAACACCTATTTGCGTCTCTATGATAAACCCAAGCGAAACTGAATGCATGGCTGCTTTCCTGAGAACCAGTATGGAATAGACCGTTTATTACTGGGACAGGAACCTATGGAATTC